AGCCAGCCATGCTGGCTGGGGGATTCTGGGAGTTGAAGTCCACTCATCTTAAAGTGGCCAAGTTTGGACAACACTGCACTAGGGTAACCATCTGATTTCATTCTGATGCAATGGAAATGGGGTCTTTAAAACTTTCACACTGACAGTTTTTACTGTGTCTCTAAAATTGAACAAATTACTGCTAAGGGTAAGAGCTATAACCTTGAACTGTGGTTCAGCGAAAATTACCGTGCTGGCTGGAGCTAGCTGGAACGTTTCACAAGTGAAGAATCGCACGTTTCTCCTGGAAATCATAGTTGAAGATTCTAATACTACAAGCTTTCTCTATATTTTCATAAAATAACTGCATGTTTTATAAAAAAAACATAACTGCAAAAAAATGTTTAGCGAGACAGAGTTCAGCTCAGTGCTAGTAGCTTATTTATTGAAAGAAATTAATTTAACTGAAAAGTTAAATAATTGGCTCTACATTCTAAAAGTTTCATCACATTCACCTGAAAGTGAATAAGAGTTTGTACCCTGTATTCTCTTGATGTTTTAGAAATCTGATTTCTGGCTTTTCAACTAGAATTACATGATATACCCTTATATTTTAAAAATACCCACATACACTTACAATTCAGACTCTGAAATTCAATGCCTGGACAAAAATTTAGCACCTCATTCCTGTTACAACCTAGGCTAGAGAGAATAAGGATTAGATCAGCTATGAAACAGCTGTATTGGCTAAAAGGAAAAAAAAAAACATGTAGAAGGACCTTTATTAGACCAATTTAAATTTTACAAAATGGGGTGCTAGCTTTGGAATTTCTAAGATCTCTTCATCAGGTAAAAAGATTAACATAACACAGTTAAACAAAACCAATCCCAGGACATGCTGGTTAAGAGAGTTGTGACTGGTACTTAAGATAATTTTGCCTTAAACTTCATTATTCTCACCTTATCTGTGAAGCCCAGAACTCTTGCTACTGAAATTTAAGTTCAGCACTGGAACTAAACTACACCTATTAAGTATGCTGATAAATGGAATGGTTTTAGCACACGTTCATTTTGTCTTTATGTAAAACAAATAGGGATTTCCTAATAGGAGCCACAAAGTATAAAACCTATTATACTTTGTCACCTATTATTTTGGAGGCAAAAATCAGGTGGTCAGTACTGGTAGAAACAGCAAGGCACATATTGCCTGTTTCATACTGTTTGGGCGTGTCCTCTTCTCTGGTCAACCGTGCCTGCTGCCATTCTGTTGCTGTCTCCCGAAAAAGCTGGACACAGCAGCACTCTGCTAGTGATTTGTCAGAATTATGCAGTAGTACTAAGCTGGCAATGCTGGGCTTTAACTTTATGATTTTTACCAGGTTAGCACAAGGATGAAATCACCTAATAACAGAATGATGGGATCAATGTACTTTTTGCCCCTTTGCTAGTCAAACAGCATAGAGGAATCTGGTCAAACAGCATTTATTGCCTATTTAAGGAAAAGGAAAGAGAGCAATGGACAATCCTAGATAAAAATGCTGCTTGTAACTCAGCTTCCTCAGCGACTTTTTAACTTCAGCTTGGGTTATAGCATAAGAGTACAGGAGGAGGAAGCCTACAGATGAGGGACACTATCCTGTAACCAGATTGTCCCCCCAAACCCCTACTTCCTCTTGTACCATGACTGGTGGATGTTTTTCCTACTAGCTGCTGATATGCAGAAGAGGAAAAACAGTAAAGCCAGAAAAATCAGCTGACTGCTTTGGTTGTCATGCGTTGCATACATAAAATCAAAATGGTGCCATTCAGTGAGCCAGAACAGATGCCATAGAGGCAGGACAATGATTGGCAATGGTGGCAGCAAATTTCATGCTGGTACAGGGTTTTTTTGCTGACTGAAAGATGAGTAGATAGCATGTTAACTCATCAGTAGGCTCTCAGCTGAGTATGTTAGTCTAAGAGGACACATGCATGCTAATCATATCCTAATTGAAGCTCAGTAAAGTAGACTGAACAAGCTTCCAGAAAAGCACATTTTTATCAATCACCAGTCACCTTTTTCTCTACCCAGTAAGAACAGGGCATCTCATGTAACCTGACTGCAAAGTCCTGAAAACAAGTGAGACACAGTAGATATGGGCAGCTAATAAGCTTTAGAATTTATCAAAGGCGTGTGCTCAGTTTACAGTCACTTCTCTGAAGATCTGTATTTTCAAGATTTCCTTCAGTTAAACAAAACTGAAATGGCTTTCCTTGTCTATTTGGCTTGGGTTTAAATAACGTATCTCCTTTCGGTCTTTTTTTTTTTCTTTATGGAGTTGTACTTTATAGTCAAGTCATGTTTTTAAAAAAGAAACAGACCAATAAGTGGAAATTCTGAATGCTTTTATTGTCATGACTTACAGCTGCCACCTTTGTAAAACCCCAGAATGAAAGATTATTCAGTCCCGATTCCCAAGCCCACAAATGGCAGCAAATCTCTGGGACACAGAAGGGGACAAAACTTAAAAAAGCAATGTGTACAGAATGTATTTAATCAAATTCATAAAAAGTAGGATGCCTTTTCTCTTAAATGGTGAGACAGTATGATCTGCTTTCTACTGATTGCCAGCAAATACTATTCTTAAGTCCTGAAGGCAAGAACTGGTATCTCAAAAACAGCATTATATATGACTCAAGCAGACAAAACGTACGCACAGCGAAGCATCCATACAAATCTTGCCTCTCCTTTGCTAGACTGAGCTTGGTCATAACCCAGTGCCTCTGAGCATACTGACCTCTAGCATAATGCTAATGGCAGGAACCCCTTCAGTACCAAAAAAGGGCCTAAACAAACCAGCAAATAAATACAGTTCCCCCATCAGCTCTGACACTTTTGCTCAGATGCCAGAGAGTCCTCGAATAAGCTTAACAAATTTTTTGGCTCAAAAGTGGAGCAATGATTTGAGCATTGAGGTAAAACTGATTCCCATTCATCTTCTGCATCATCATATGCTAGTGTGTGCTGCAAGCTATTCACAGGTAACAAGTCTGATGAAGTGGGGCTGTTGTATGGGGACTCCAGACTAACGCAACTAAGGTTGGGACTTCCCGGGAGTGCAAAAGACCTGCAAACAACCAAAATAAACAAATAAACAAGGAAGTAGTTACGGAAACCTCACAACTTAGCAAGGAAGAAACTAAGACATTTGGCTTCTTCACAATCTAAGCGCTTGAGAAAGCCTCAAGGTTCAAAATACTGTACTTTATCTTTTACTGTAGAGGTGAAAGCATGTAATAGAAGTGTTAGCCCAGTGCTATATAGTTGCTCCCTGGCTGAGTCATCAAGCATTCTGAACATTATTTTGTATCTTCAGTTTGCAGGCAACTCTGCAAAAACCTCTAGAAGTTTAGTTACTGGCTGGTTTTACATACAATAAGCCTTAGTTTAATTAACAGGAGTTTACTGAATACATTACATTTGCTGGATTTGCACAATCCACTAAACCAAAACAAACCACATTATAGCTTAGCGAGTTGTATGAACACAACTATTTCCTTATAGTATCACTTCAATAACAGCTCACCTGTTTTTCCTGCAACTAGTCTGTTGAGGTGAGGGATGCCGTGGTGTGGAGGTGCTTCCTGTACATGGGCATATGGTCAGCAGAGGGGAACCAGGTTGTCTAAAGAAAAGCAAATAGGAGGTTTTACTATCAGGCCTAGCAGAAACCTGACAAAGGTATGTTGAAGAATGGGTGGGGAATCCAGACCAACACATAGAACAAATGAATGCACAACATGTTTGAACAAGTAGGTTGGGTTAGTCATTTGCTCCCTCTTCTCCCTTTCAGTTCATCATATAACCTCTATACATATAACAGACCTGTTCTTTCTGTCCTTCAAGGAAAAAACAAAGACTGTTAGTCATTCACCTCCAAAAGGTGGATTCCAAGCCAGAAATAATTTGAATTATCGGGGGTTGATAATTCTTTTTTGATAGAGCAGTTGGCCACCCTTAACAATTAAAAAAGATGAGAATAATTTTGTTAGAGAAAAAACGGGATGAGTACTTTAAACTGAATCAGATTTTCTTAATGGTTAGACAATAATTGACAACTGACAGCACTTTTCATAAGCTACAGAAACATTTCTTAATAATTAGAGAAAATATCAAAGAAGGAGTGATACAAATTCTCATATGAAAAACAATTGGATAAGTTTACTAATGCCATAAGTTGGCTTCAGGTTTGTGGTAGGTGTTCTAGAGAATCATTACAACAGCTGTAAAAAGCATTTGGAGAATACTGCTGCTTGGAGTACAGGTAGTCCCCGGGTTAAGAACGCCCAGTTTAAGGACGACCCATAGTTAAGAATGGAGTCTATTGTAGCCAAATTCAAGTTAAATATATAATGGTTTGCGTTAATTACACTACTATTTATACAGCATTATACAATAATACTGTTCCAGCTGACATACAGATTTGACTTAAGGACAGACCTTGGGAATGGAACTTGTTCTTAAACTGGGGACTACCTGTATTGAGGCAGTTTCTCAAAGACTTGGTGCAATCAATTTGAAGCTCTTCCTTGGTTGCCAATTATGCTCCGGGCAGCAAGTTTGGAAGGGCACTTCACAAAGTGCTTCTTCAAACACTTTGCACAATCCTAATCACTGTCCCCTATTTTGGGTTTTAGAGATTGCTAAAACCAGAGACAAGGTAACTGCATGTGGTTGAAGTATTAGGGGATTAAAAAGTTCTAAAAAAGGACTGGTCAATGGAATTTGCTTCATGTTACTAATTCATCAATTCCAGTGTCAGAAAGGAACTTTTCCAGTGGATTCTTGAGAAGCTTATTTGTCTTTCAAACTAGACAAGCAGTTCACTGACCTCAAACACTGGGATTCACCTACCACAATTTTTAATGTTAAACAGCAAATTCTGAGACAGGGCACTTGCTTGTGTTCACTTTCTACTTCTACCATGTTTTGAGCTAGGTAGATGATGGAAGAGGGAATGTGCCTCTCTCCCTCCAACTTACTTATCTGAGGACTGCAGCTCCACAGGGCAAGTGTGGTTATGTCGTTCACTTATCTCTGAGAGCTCAAATACATCCTCACCAAGGGTCTCTTCATCACCCTCATCTTCTTCGCCCCAGTCACTAGAGAGACTGCTGTTTTCTAGTGGAAGGAGGAAGGGTGAATGTGGTGGTGTGACTGGAACAGTCTGATGCCAAAAGAGCAACCAATGAGCTGGACTGCACAGAGCTCCCCAGAGCCACTGCATGAACCTGAGGAGAGTCTGGAATGAGCAGGAGGAAAGAATCAAACACTTGAGAGAGATCAGCAAGCAGAATATACAGAAAACAACTGTGAATTATATCCTAAATTTGACAATAAAACTGAGACTAGGAAAGGGTTCTAGCATTAAATGACAATGAACATTTGATATAAATCAGTGACAATTTTGTAGTAATAGGTGTCAAAGAATTCCAAGGACTCAGGGAGAAATATATAGAGCTAGTTCAGTCTCATTCAATCACAAGCAAAGGTACCTAACAATTTATTAAGACCCTTGGGTTAAAAGAACAGAAAAGAAATGAAAGGGATGGCTATAGTTATAAGAAAAAGAGTGCTCTGACAGCACTGTGGTGTATGTATGTATGTATGTATTTTACTAATAAGGTTTATCAATCCATTTTGAAACAAAAATACATAAAAATGAACAATCAGCAGAGTATGTGCTTAAAGGTTGCTTTAGAATTAGGACTATAATGATATTTGGCTAAATTCATGTTCACCTTGTACATGGAGACTCCCTGCTGGATCCCAGATTGTGCTAACAACATCAGTTTTCGCCACCTCTCAGTTTTCTGCATGAGACTAGAATTAAGCAGCATCTCCACTGAGGGCCGGAGAAGATGATTAGGTTCCAACATGGCAACCAGAAGTTTTCGCAGCTCGACAGAGAGACCTGAAATGGATAGAAAGGGTCAGTCGCCTACCTTTAATTGTGTGGCATATTGAATTTTTCACATCACTAGCTTCTTCACTTGACCATTCTGGCTTTGATAGATGCTTTTCAATTTGCCTGCTTCCCAAAAAGATTGCCGCCAGAATCCTTGCACTGTAGATATTACATGCAGAGATGTCCCCTTTGCTGCTGCTCACCTGCAGTGAATTCAGGGGGCAGATAACCCTGTCGAAGCTGCTGCCAGCCTTCACCTCCATTGGGGAGCTCCATATTACAGGCAATTTCTAGGATAGTTATGCCAAGGCTGGGAGGACAGAAAGACATAGATCAAGTAACTGAAGCAAGCAGCACTATTAAACCACATCATTGATTTTTAACACCCATTGTTAGCTACCTTTGAGGCAGAGGAGCAAAAACTATGATAGTGGCCATTCCTGGCACTAGGAAACCTAGCTCCCCACCTTCCCATCACACTCCACACCTGAAGACATCAGCAGCCTTGGTATATTCTCCACGGAGCAACTCCGGGGCCATGTAGCGTGGATCCCCTTCTTGAGCATCATTCAGATCCCCAGAGTCCAACTCCAGCATTAGGCCAAAGTCTCCCAGCTTACAGACATTGGTAGATGATAGGAAGATGTTAGCTGGCTTGACATCCATGTGTAGAAGGTTATGATCATGTAAATGGCGCAGTCCTTGAAGCAAATCCCAGAGGAAGGCCTGAACTTGCCATTCGGACAGGGGCCCATACTCCTCACAGTACTGCAACAGGGTGCCAGGGCACAACTCTGTCTGGATGTACAGTTGTCCACGCTCCTCCCAGGCCTGTACAAAGCTCACACAGTTGGGATGGTGCCCCACATGTTCATGCTTGCGCACCTCAGCCAATTTGCGCTGCCTGTCACCCTCACCCCGGAAAGGCTCCACAGAGCGCTTTACTGCATACAACTGACCATCTTCACGAGACCGTACCTATAAGAGAGAATGGGGAGGATCCTGGCCAGTCCATGGAAGTGCTTCAACTTAAGAATCCTACCTAATAATCCTAACATCCAAGTGAGGAGTGGTACTGTTCTCTCCCAAGAATATCAATTTTTGTGACAAGTAAGTAATGTTTATATCATGTAAGTAGGCTGCAAATATGTGTACTGTTTGTTCTAATTGCTAAGGCAGCCAAAGTTAAACCACAAGTATTTAAAATACTGTAGTTTGAAATGCAAAAAATTTTACAAGAACATTTTAAACAAACTACTATACAAATTACACTAAAATATAGGAAATTATCTGCTGTGCCTAACCAAAAGTTCAATTTGTTTCTTTGAGTTGTCTGCTACATGCTTCAAGGAGTTTTACAAGTTGAGTATGATGCCAATACATTTATTCCAGACTCCACATAGCACTGCAGAATATGGAATTTCCATTTAACTGTCCCAACTAAATCCCAGTGATAAATATAGTCTCCATTAATTTCTGTAATCTTATTTTAAGCTATTAATCATCACTACCTGATGATGCCTTACCTTGTATACTTCCCCAAAAGATCCTCGTCCCAAACAGCTGAGTTTCTGGAAACACTGCCTGAAAAACAGCTCTCTTTTAGAGGCATCATACAGATGACTATGTAGAGGTGATTGCTGCTTGTGTGAGCCATGGAAGGAAACACTGCGTGGCTGGAGCTTGGTCCAAGGCTGCAGACGGCGGTCAGAGAAAATTCGGCTCACAGTTAATGTGCTCTTGTGGCGTGGCCGTGGAGGAAGGGTATAACTGAGTGGTTGGCGGGCCCTTTTGATTGAAAAACTGCATTCTGCTTCCCTGAAGAAGGCAGGCACTGGCAGAGGAGTATGGCTCAATTGAGATTCAGCCCCTGAACAGTCAAGAGGTACCGGCATATCTGAAAGCAGAAAGTATAATCACTAAGATTATGCAATAGCTTCCTTTACAGCCTAAATCATAAAGCAGCAAGTTTTGGTGCTAGGCTATAGAGGACTTTCCTTCAGGTTCATCAGTCATAAAAACTGGATATAAGCTGTGGTTAGATACTTTTCCCCATATTTAACCTAACTGAAATAACACAGATCATGACATACATTGAGTTTAAACCGTCTTTTCATACAATGCAATAGCATATTAAAGAGATATACTTTATTATAGTCAGTGACCATTACTGAAAAGAAAACAACAACAAAAAACAATAAAATGTAATAAGCATCCTTAAGTTTATAACTTTAACTCATATGAATGTAGGTAAGTAAATATATTTAACATAAAATTATAAACCCCATAGAGCTAATATAAATAACTAAACTTATAACGCCTATTAGCTAGGTATCTGCTTTGTTTACTTCTTTACAATGTTTGGTTAGATGCACTTAAAAGGCTAAATAGAAGGAATAAGGTAAGCAGTAGCATATTCAGAAACATTACAGCCTGAAAGACCTCTAGTGATCTTATGGCAGAAACAAACGCTTCTTTATTTCTAGCTTACAATTCTGGAAACAAAAAACCTTTAATTTGATGTTAATCATTTCTATATTTTTCAGTTCTTTTTACAGTAAGGTTCTCTTTATGTTTGTCCTTAAAAAAAAACCTTATCAATCAAAAGCTTTAGTAACACCCATGCTTTCCAATCAGCACTAGATTTCCATCTGAGAAAATCAATGCCCCGTGGTCAGCTGTCTCCAAACCCTGGCCATTTGAGGAGTATTTCAGGGAAGACGCATTTCATCTATCTGCTGCAGTTGCCCAGGATCCATCAATAACAGTGATGAAGTTTCTTAGTGATTCCTGATAAGCCACGTGACATTCAAATGAAACTGACAAATCTGGAATCTGATTCTCTAGAGGCACTCAAATTAAAGTAAACACAACTGTCAGCAGAAGCACAAACTGAACAAACAGTAAATGGAGCACCAGTTGGAAAATATAAAGAGTTTCAAAGTATTGATCTATGCCAGCAGTTCCTTGCTTACATAATCCATCATAAGGCACTTGAATTTAAAAAACAACAACACAGAAGCAATCTTATATATGCTTTTGTTATATGCAAATATAAGATTGCTTCTCTGGGAGTAAACTATACTGAAAATAGTAGGGATTACTTCAGAATAAAGATTATAGGATGCACTGTATGGCCGCTTGTTCAATATGGCAACTATAATTTTGTATAATGCTTTATTTAAAGGACACAAACTATATCTCTACAATGTTCAGAGCATCAGACTAAGAGTAGGACGACTTCAAATGTGGTTACGAAGCTGGTTCTGTTCTGCATATTGTGGAGTAAATCTCACCAAAATATTGTAACCAGCAGGGTCCAATGATCATTTTTAGGCAAGAAAGTGATCACTGGACTCCACCCAGAGTAAAGTAAAATGTTACAAAGCTTTTATAGACATTAAAATAGGCATTTGCAAGAAGCAACTGAGTTAGAAGAAATACTTTTATAACAGAATTACAGATTGGGGGGGGGGGTCATTTCAGTTCCTGAATGCTCAGCTCTCCCTCAAAACTAGTCTGTACTAGTTCTGCATCTTACTTTGTAATCCAGCCTATGTTACTCACTCGCTTAGAGATAATGGGTCTGGTCTATAGATTTTCCACATTATACCCATCCCTCTTCTCTTCTTTTCAAACTTTTTTTTAACGGAAAGTCTTAACAACAGTAAGAATGAATACAAACTGAAGTACAGGTAGTCCTTCCTTAATGACCACAACTGGGACTGGGATTTAGGTTGCTAAGCAATGTGGTTAAGTGAATTATCATGTGACTGCTCCGCTTAGTGACTGCAATCCTGGCAGTCCAGGTTGCCACCATTAAGTAAATGCACCGCTGCAAATATGTGTACTGTTTGTTCTAATTGCTAAGGC